GTAACATACATAGATCTGATTGAAAGTGTCTCTGAAACAAACACTCAGTCAGCGTTAATATATTATATGTCATTAAATATAAAACAAAAAGACGGAATGTCGAGGAGAAAAAAAACAGTAGTTGAATAGATTATGCCAAGGTATATTGGTGAGACTGAATGTGTGGCGCTATATAAGTGACCTTACATTTCCTTGTTTTACCTAATTATTATACATTATGATACGAACCAAATAACATTCATTCATGTGTTCAAAGTCGTAGCTGTGGTAGTCCAGTGGTACACGCAGCATATATGTAGTTTTTACTGTGATTCTCAGAGTTTTCTGTCACTGTCTTCTTTCTATATGGTTTAGGCGGTTTTTTTTCGTCGTGTAGTAAAGTTAGATATATGCTTACTTATTTGTCCATGTATGCATGACATTGAGGTAACATCCACATAAATAGGCAAATGTGTCACTTGAGCAAGAATTCTACCATAGACGCGAATGCCCTTCAGTATACAGTGTTTTTTTATAATGAATTGCAAAAACATGATTATAAAATAAATTATATTTGGACCTAGTATACTATACTATAGATGAATGCCATCTCTGCTTCCTGCAAACACTGCAAGGGGAGTCTTCATGAAAACTACATATGCTACAAATCCGCATGTGAGATTAAAGGATGAAGCTTCCCTGTATATTTTGTCAATCAGCAATATAGCATGACAGTTTTTTTGTGGCGTGGACACAATTACCAATTGCATCTCTTTATTAAAACAGGGGAATCATACGGTGTCATTGTTTACAAACAAGCATTTACCCATGAGCCTCTACGTTCTTAGCGTGCTTTGTTATCATCGCTTGGATACGCGCACAGGTGACGACCCTCCCTCTTAAATGGCTAAATGCCACTGTCCACATTTTATCTACCAATACATCCAACCATTACATACATTCCCAAACAACATATTGCCTATTCAGTATGCAATATAGCGTAATCAGAAATTATATTATAAAAAAATATTTAATTGAATATTAGTTGCACCCTGCCTGAACAGTGATGACAAAATATTTAACATCTACAAACATGCAACTATCCACCAACTTATAACATTCATTCATTTTGAGATTCAATGTTCAGCCATAGCAGGTACTAGCTCACAAGAAAGAAATAATTTGTCATGTAGCGAGTATGTATGAACAAGGCACGAACCATAGCAATTCTGGTGAAGTAGTCATGCATGGATTTTTGGGGAGGCGCGTGTCCCCTCCTTCAGCCCGCACAAAAATCGACAAATCAATTGACAAACCTAACCCACCTTCGGCCATGTCAATAGGAGCGCCCCCTCACCGACTTTCTTGATCCGCCAGTGGTAATGTTGAATGGGCGTTCACATGCTAAGGTTGAAAATGGGTGAACAAACGGTAGATTGTTTGACAAATTTAACAGTTGCTACTTGGTGTGGATTGAGACCAAACATTCATATGATGACCGACTAAATCCACCCTACAGATGCCCAGGTTAAGGATTAGCTTCACTGCATAAATGTGGGGAAATACATGCGTGTTATAAAATACTAGCTCCGTTCCCAATGCAAGCACAACTTTAGCGAGCGTAATCACAGTTGCTGTAATAAATGTGTTGGATAATTGCAATCTAACTTCCATTGCATTTCACTGCATTGGTAGTATTGGTATCATTAGTAACACCATGGAATTTCAACCTTATATTTACTTAATACGGAAAAAGGTAGTTTAGACTTCCAATAAAAACAAGATATATCAGATATATTATTAATAGATGATTCAAACTCAAGTTCACTAAACTGTAAAATTTGGCATAAACATGGAAAACAAGGGATATAAAAAACCTAATTACAAGGAATGACCAATTGATTAGTATATGGTTTTTATGATGAAGAAAGATTCTTTCATTGGCATATGGTTTTCTGAGCAGCCTTCAAATAATAAGTCTAGCTCAACCATTATCATTAATGTATCCCATTCAAACTGGCATGTTTGTGAGGTGAGATTATATTAATGCCATATTTAGTGTATATACGCATCATTTAAAACCTTAGCACATCATAGGCACGACATAAAAGTGTGTATTTAAATGAGGTCAACATGGGTGTGGATTATAAGACCCTCAAGATTGTCGAACTTACTTAGCCAGCCAAGTCACTGAGACGGCCAACATTGACCATCCCAAGGTAAAGGGTGTCGAACTTACTTAGCCAGCCAAGTCACTGAGACGGCCAACATTGACCATCCCAAGGTAAAGGGTGTCGAACTTACTTAGCCAGCCAAGTCACTGAGACGGCCAACATTGACCATCCCAAGGTAAAGGGTGTCGAACTTACTTAGCCAGCCAAGTCACTGAGACGGCCAACATTGACCATCCCAAGGTAAAGGGTGTCGAACTTACTTAGCCAGCCAAGTCACTGAGACGGCCAACATTGACCATCCCAAGGTAAAGGGTGTCGAACTTACTTAGCCAGCCAAGTCACTGAGACGGCCAACATTGACCATCCCAAGGTAAAGGGTGTCGAACTTACTTAGCCAGCCAAGTCACTGAGACGGCCAACATTGACCATCCAAAGGTAAAGGGTGTCGAACTTACTTAGCCAGCCAAGTCACTGAGACGGCCAACATTGACCATCCCAAGGTAAAGGGTGTCGAACTTACTTAGCCAGCCAAGTCACTGAGACGGCCAACATTGACCATCCCAAGGTAAAATAATTGGATAGCAATCAAGAAAAGACAGTCAGTAAATTTTAAACCATGACATGATAGTGATGAAACTTCTCTCCCCTGATTCAATGTATGGTTCAAAAAGTATCATAATATTGTTTACTTAAAAACTAGAAAAGATTTTTCTGTTATTAGCTTGGCCAACGAGCGTATTTAAAAATAACATTAAAGAGTTGGAGAAACCTGTAAATAGGAGCCCATGGACTAATGTAAAAGTGAGAAAGTTTTTGAATTGAAATTTCTCAAAACAAAAAGTGCTCCTAACAGTAAGTACGTGCATGTACTGAGCCATGACTAGCAGCCAGTGTGCTGCTTAAACCCTTTTAAATTATATTTGTATATGTGCCTATAATTTCAATTTGATAAATAATGGCTAATGAAGACATCCGGCGACGGCCAGAATGCAAGAAAGTTAGCGAATCATCTACCCTGATAAATATTGGGGTCAAGTGAAACCATCTCTGCATGTAACTAGGTAAAAGTGTGCTGTACTCACCAGTTAATTGGCTCATACCCGGGGCCACGGTGAGCGAGAACAACAAATGTTTGAGTAATGCTGATTTTACATAATGAGTTAGACCAAGGGCTAGACCAAAGCTGCAATCTGGTAGTTCCTTGCAAAATCCTCTCTGGGATGAAGCAGCACCAAATGATGCGTTTGGAGTGACAAAGTCTAGTACAACTTGAATTACTATGAAGTATGCTATATGGGTCCATGTTTGCCCAGATCAGCACATTCAACATAGACATGCGGAAATCCAGCAGGCCTGCACATATCGCTTGTTTGAAGTTTTTGGCCGAGGCAAATGGCATTCCCCCAAACACAAGTTCTGCTTGTTGCACAGGCCATTTTCTTGTTGAATAAGAAACAATCTCCACGAGTTGGCACATTTTTGAGTGAGGACTATAAATAACCTTTGTATCTTCAATGAAACCTGAAAAGTGCAGAATCTTGGTTGTTTAGAAAACTACACTGCCTCGCAGTGATCTCTTAACCAGTTAAGAACATGTATTATGCCAAAAGGGGCGAACAATGAACTGGTATCTTATTCCCCAAATCATGAAGTGTAGCATCTTCGCCAGCCAAGGACCATTTAATAGGGCGATTTCAAGATTTTCTGTATGTTGCACGCCCTGGAACAATTATACGATTCACTTGAGCTCATTTGAATTACCCAATGAGAACTCGTGATAGAAACGCGACACGACATGGTAAAATTAAAATGATGGAATATAGAAATAAACTTGATAGCTTTTTGTCTCCGTTAACAAGCTTACTGACCAGAAAACACCAAGCGTTTCTGAGGGATACGAGTTTGTTGCAACAAAGACCAAATCCATTTGGGCAAGTCAATACGTTATCATTTTTGACAGTTATTTAGAGATTCCTTTGTCTTTATTCACTTGCCAACAAACAGTTTTCGCCATTGGAATGAGAAATTTGGGAAATGTGTCAATGAATATAGACCTTCAGTTTTAGACTGCCGGTGAATAAGCCTACCTGTCGCCAATTTTTTTAATCTGTGATGCCCCCTACCTTTATATTTATGATACAGCAACGCCAATTGGTGGCACCAGCTCCTTGGCGCGCTGATTAAATGACTCAATTTAATAATGCAGCTTTTTCATGCGGATGATGGAAGTGTAGGTATGAACAGCTTTCAGAGTAAATTGGCTCATGCAGAGGATGTGCCGATTTCTCAGTTCAGGTGTGCATACAAAGTGTCCATATGAAACTGATATAATTGGACTAGCCATTTTTAAAAAAAAGTCGAAAATAGCATTTGTTACCAAATAGTTTCATTAAAATTAGAGAATTGAAGGTATCGTCACAAATCTGACAAATGGCAATTCAAGGTGTCTAAATATCAAGCTTGAAAAGCTGTGACAGTGACGAATACCTAATATTTAATTCATAGATGTTGGAGAGCATAAAATGTTCTCATTATCAGCAGTATAAATTCTCTGAAAATGTTCTGCAATTATGAAACATTTGTGGCCATAAAATAGCAGTTATTCACCTTGAATAGGATCATGGAGCAAATGCATGTACTGTATTGTATACTGATGCAAGTTTGAATTTTGGACTGATCAAACAAACTTGACCTGACCTGACCTGTCTAAACTTGGCACAAAATCTGTTGAGACGCGTCCTAGAAATAATGGTCCCCACACATTTTGGAACTCAAAACTTGCACACAAACATTAATTGAAAAATATGTACTTTAATATTAATACCATTTAAAGAATACACACATTGATAAAAAAAGAAACTTTATTAATTATGTTGAAATGGCAGTGAGTGTAATGGCACATATGTGTATATGTATAAAGAATACATTTTCAAAAATACATATTTTAAAACACTATTTTTTTGCAAGTCTTTTCTACCATTAAAATACAGTAATTTTAGTTTTAAAATAGATTATTTAAAATTTCAAAATACATATAAATCACAATACAGATAAGATTATTTTACTTTTGTTGCCATAGAAACAATTTCTAGCTTGTGAAATACAAAGAACATTAATTGTCAGACAAAGTTGTAAGAGTTGCAAACTATTTTTTTTTCAAAAAAATACTACAAACATTTTTTTGAAGGGGTGATGTGATATATACATGGTTATCATAAATTGATCTGCCTAGAATATATAGATTTAGTAGCTTTGTGATTTTTTTAATATTCTAGAAAACTAGTTATTTTTTATCTTCAAGGGTCTGTTGGTGTCGCTGACTGACCTCTGCACATTTCTTTATTTCTAAACCTAGATGTTTAGCCAAGGGAGGTGGAACAGCATTTCCAACCTGTAAGTAAAAATGAAAATAGATTCAGGAATGAAACCACATCACAGAGTCCCAATAAATGTACATCCAAACCAATGTCTGTCATGTAGAAATGCCACAAAATTTGTCCATGCAATTTTTGGTTCTGTTGGTGATGTGCTTCTAAAAGAGCAATGAATAAGTTGTGAAATACCTATAACCTCCTTTCTAATCACCAGTTTATTGGATGCCAAGCCTTTATGGATGAACACCTGGAAATGTACTAAAACTAAACTTTCATATTCAAGTACATTTGCATACACAAGACAAATAAAGCTCCTATACATTTCCATACCTGTCGATGTTTATCCAATATTGTTCCATAGAAACGATATGTATCCGGAAATCCTTGTGAGCGAGCACACTCTCTAACGCTGACTACACGATGTTGTTCAGGATGCAGAACACGGCCCTGGAAGATAGAAGAAAGGAAGTCGCCATTTTAGAACAAATTTTGATGCAAGTGTGGGCATATAGAACAATGCTCTGTTGCATTAAAACAAGTAATGTGTACCTGTTTCCCCATAGGTTCAGGATTGGTGACTGTTGTACTGAAGTATCCATCCCATTCCACACGGCCATACAAACCAGCCCAGTTGTTATGTCTATTACCAGTATGAGGTAAACACCATGGAATCAGAGTGTTAAACTGTCTATCAGTTGGGTCACATGGTTTATTCATAGCACATGCACATACACCACGCAGTTGGCCATTGGGACCTTTACCATTTTTCTTGTCTGGATGCAGGTATCGTCTAATAAGAAAAGTCACAATTTCAGTTTGATAATCTTGTTTCCTAAAGTCTTTCAGACCTACAATACATTTCACAGTATTTGAGCTCAATTTGAATGCCAAACTCAGATACTGCCAAATTTCACAAAATCCTTGATAATATTCTGTATTTTTACACAACTGTTGTCAATGGTCATTTAAACCAAATTAACAAAGGGTTTATATAAACATGCATACAAAACTGAGAATGTTTCAAAATTTTAGGCAAGACAAATTTGGTATTAAAAAGAATCATGGCACTATTGTGGGCTTGTAAATTTAAGCCATTCTTTGTGATTTACATGCTAGGATAACTTATCTATATTCATACATTCTAAACAGTTCTTTGTATATCAACTTAAATCTGGAATTGAATGGAGTCATGTTTTTCTGTTTGCTTGGAAACTTAGAAGGCAAATCGAGACTACACGACTGTAATTCCTAAACTGTCAAGGAATTAATTAGCTGTTGTATCTGAAAAGACAAATTTCATGATAAGCAACTTACAGTTTTTTACAAGTATTGCCATCAGATAATCTGACTGCAATATTTGGTAAATCTCTCCAATCAGAACCGGGGGCCAGTGGAATATGACGCATACGCCCTTCAACCAATGCACTCATCTCCTTGCATATGTGATCACGCAGAATAGGTTGATGTTGTGAACCACGAATCTTGAAATTAAAAAAAATTAAAATTTCTGGTATCAATATAACGTGCAATATTGAATAGAGCTACACACATCTCAAGGAGAAAAAGAAAAATCAACTTTGTTGATTAACAAATCTCCAACTCACTGCTAGTACCATCCCCTCTTTCTCCACCCATGTTTTTTGGGACAAAATACTTGCAAGTCAAAAGTTTACAAAAACAACAGTTTACCAATATTAAACTCTGAAGCGAATAAGTACAGGCAAGTCAGAGAAATGATGTTGGACAGACATACATGCAAACAACTGAAAGCACAAAACATAAATTCCTATGTTGTATTACAAAATGGCAACAAATACCTTAGTTACACATAGATCAAAAGAAGTGAGAACACCATTTGAGTGGGTAAAAACAAGTTGCATAGTTCTCATGCTTAACAAGATATCAGGAATTTGCATTAAAGGTTTATTCTGACAATGTTGTATTACAGTTGAACCAAACCGAATGTGGGCACAATGATTTAAGCATCACCTGCCCAGAGTGATCACTCCGGCGCTCCCAATGTAAATTGCATATAAAGTGACCTGTTAAAAGATGGTCAGAGGTTGCTTTTTTTTTTACACTGATTATATCGAATGAACCTGGTCAAATGACATTTAGTTTAGATTCACACATGTATTCCACATTACTTAGGAACCATTCCTTATTACTCAAAACAAATATGCCACATTTTTATTGAAGAATTAATAAACCTTCATCTAAGAGGCCACATTTCAGAAGGGCAGTTTTCACCTTGATTGGTTACTTTGCAGCTTTGTCATTATTTGCAAATCTGCAAAAATAAATCATATACATACCGCTTTTTGATATCCATTCTGTGCTTCTCTGTCGTATGACATTTCAAGTTTATTATATCCATTTCTTATTTCAGGTAAATCTGACAACGCATCTCGGACCGTAATAGTACGATATGGTGCTGACCATACACGCGCCATATTTGACTCGTACTGAAATAATGTACAACAAAAAACAGGAAATTATTCTATTGTAAAACAATAGCGACAAAGTGTCATTATAATTACCAAAACCATGGTGACGTACCTTTTTCTCATCAATGGTAACACTAAGAGGACAAGCCCTGGGTGAGAATACATGGGCAGGTTCTGGATAAAATGGTAGCTTTTCCCCAGGTGCAGCTGCTAAGATAATAGCTCTCCTTCGAGTTTGTGCAACTCCATACAAACCAGCTTGAACAACACCAAAAGTACACTGAAAAATACAATTTTAAATTGTTTAACTCAATCAAAATATTGATTGATAACTTACTGTACTTTCTAATAATTATTAGAAAAAAAAAAAATCACCTTCAGTGATGTAGATTTGTTTTTGAGTAGAAGGTCAAATAAGAAAAGTAGAAGGTACAGATTTATATTGAAGCTGAAATAGCATGTGCCATAGGCACACATCGCGGCAGGTGGTGCTGGGGGACGGGGAGGATCTGTGAGGGGGGTATCCGCCTCCCATGATTTGGAGCTTTTTTAATAAAGAGGCCATTATTCATGAAATTTTAAGCTAATAAAATGTTAATTCTACAAGAAATTTGGTGTGTGTTTTTTTGTGTATATTCACCACTGTAAAGTATTTTTATTATAATTCTGTATAATTACAAGAAAAGCATTATAACCACCATAAATCAGTAGTTACATCGTAAGCTAGCTCTTTATCATTAATCCACTCGTGTAAACATTTTGTAGTTGAATCCCCGCGTTTTACAGTGATAGAATCGCCCTTGGAAATTTGATTGCACGAACCATGTGCGTGTTATATTTATCGACGTCTTCAAACAGAAAATGCTGACACTAATGTCTTTCCCATTCTGTACTGATCGCATATTTATTTTTTTCGATCCATTGGCATCATTCTGTGAGGTAGCGACATTCAAATCGGACGAAGTTCAGATCCGTGGATTCGTTTCAACGGCGACATCGTCACATTGCCCATTGCTGGAGTCACCAGCGACGAGTTAGCAAGACCGTCAAAGCTTCAGTTTGGTTGCACGATTCAAACGACTTGAAAAATTTCTTGATTGTTGACTGTTCATGCTGGTTTGACGATGCTCTCTTCCGAGTAGATGATTTGTTTGTCATAAATACAAAGAGGGCATAAATCCATAGAAAACCAGAGGTCAGAATGGAGGTAACAATGACGTCGTGCACATGTGATTGTAATTAACATATCCGAACGTCGAAAGCTTTCGTGCGTACCCTAACAACGTAAAACCCGGAAGTATGTTACATTTTCAGCAAACGACTACAGATTTCCCAGTGTCGCTTTGCAAAAAAACTGTTGTAGCTTTGAATACGTGAATTCGTTTTTTAAAACTGTTAAAAGTATTAAATACGCTACGATTCAGTGTATACAGAAAATATTTTTTAGGATTTTTTTATTATCTAAATTTATTGTTTTGTAATGAAAAAATAGCCGGTATTTTCACCAGAGTAGGTGGTCGTTTTGACCGGCTATCGGCTTATATCTACATCACTGATCACCTTATAAAGCCACAAAAATCTTCAAATTCACTCGATATTCCATTGAGAGGGGTGACCTCAGGATAGAAGAACTCATCTGATATCCCATTGAGAGGAGTGATCTCAGGATAGAAGAACTCACCTGATATCCCATTGAGAGGAGTGACCTCAGGATACAGTACTCATTCCGCCCAACCTCCCGCTTTTATCGCTTTTTTTCCGACCGCTTATCGCTTAATTTCCGACCGCTCGCTGCTTTCCGACCGGAAACCGACCGCTTTTTTTCCGCTCGCTCGCGTTCGCTTTTGTTCGCTCGCTCGCTCCTTCTATGACTGGCTTCAGAAACACCGTCCGCTTGCCAACCGACCGCTGGAGTAACAATGATCGTACATTGTATGTATAAACTTAAGTTTTTATTCCTAATAAATTTAGGTTTTAATGACGATTCAAAATACAACGCCTATTGCTTCTCTGTTTTGGAAAAAAGACACCTTCAAATCACTTGACACATTGTAACGTTTGCTACGCAAGTCGAACTGTGACCTGTATTTACATATTTACGTCCTTGTGTGTGTAGTTCAAGCAGCTATATAACTGGTCAATCGCGATATTATTGAGTACTAGTATTTGTGTGTTGTGTGTGTGTGTGTGTTTCTGTGTGATTTTGACTAAATTTATTCCGAACGGCGCTCAAAATAATTTGACACTTTGTTATTTGCGAACGCAACTCACACTATGACTCTTACTCAATTTGCACATGTAATACGAATGCTGTAGTTCAGAAAATCTATTGGTTAACTTTTGATCGTGTCTGGGTG